ATAGACTTTTGGTGTTTTTCTCAGAGGTTTTAATATCCTAATAGGCACCCCATGAATCCTGAGAGAGGCCTTTAATATGTAGTATTTCTCAAATTAAAAAGAAATGTTCCAAGGACTAATAAGTGTGAAAACTGAATTAAATAAAATTAAGTAGAATTCATATATATAATTAAAAAGAAATGTTCCAAGGACTAATAAGTGTGAAAACTGAATTAAATAAAATTAAATAGACTTTTGGTGTTTTTCTCAGAGGTTTTAATATCCTAATAGGCACCCCATGAATCCTGAGAGAGGCCTTTAATATGTAGTATTTCTCAAATTCACTTCACTGACACTGACACATAGAACATTTATTAATATCTCAAAGAATAAGATTTTGGAGGAGGATAGTGTGAAATGCTTTTTCAAAAAGTTGTTGAAGCATTAAAACAGCTTAGTAGTATTTACTAGACACCAATATTAGTTCACTAAAAATAATTAATGTCAAGATGAAACCATTCCCATATTTAGTTATTAAATTAGCATTAAAGTTTTAATGTAATAATTTAAAGGGTTGTTACATTAGTGGAATGACATAAAAGTATAGCATCTGGATTTCCTCAAGGCATTTATCCAACACACACATAAGCAAGATACAACACCTTTATCCAGGTGAAAATATGGTTCAGTATTATTTATAACACTACTCTTATCCTATTGTTTGATGGATCAACGTCAACCATTAGACGGTGACCTCTTAAGCTGATGGCCTCTGTTCTCTTTGTATTTCCCTAGCATTGTACTTTTCACAAAGTTTCTGGCTAATAATTATTTGTTTAATAGAATCATGTACAATGAGAATAAAAGCATAAATCATAAATTTTCTCCTAAGTAAATTCCATTTGTGTAATGTATATTGGTGAAGGAAAATTAAATCATGAAAAGAATTATTAAAGATGATATGATGCAACTGATTTAATAATTTTAACCATAAGGATATATTTTAAGCTTAGAGTTTGTTACCTTTTCCTTCAAAAAGTCTTTCAAATATAGGCACTTGAGACCGTTCCCCAAATTGATCACCATAATTGACCAGGGCAGCTTTCACTATCTCATATCCAGAGAGTACCACCACCTTCTTTGGACCCATTTGGATGCTGTAAATGGAGCCATATTTCTGGGAGAGCTTGGGTGTATAAGAAAAAGAGAAGCAACTAAAACATGGTACTGTAATAAAAAATGAACTAGATCTTGATCTTTGATAATTTAATTATGACAAATTAATCAGTTTCATATTCTTGTGAAATGACAATACTGGACTTGTTCACTAAAGATACTCCTTGGTTGCTACACCTGTTTAAGCCGTAATTATTATGATCATCCACTGATTGTCCTTATGCTCCATTTTGTTTGAGATTTCAAGTAGCAGGGCTCTGACATCATGGAATTGACTCATAGTATCTCTCTATTACATTTTTCTTTGGTCTCAGAAAATGCCCACCATGGACTCTAGGAAGACAAAGCACTTCCTGACTACCACACTGACTACCTGACCACCATATTCATGCCCTATCCTTTGTGGGATGCTATGACCATAATAGGTCCAAGTTAGTTCTGCGCTACTGTGTCTCACCTCTTACTGGAAAAAAAAATTAAATTTTCTTTGATAATTAAAAATAATAAGAGTGATCATTTATTGCTTCTTAACCATATTGCCAGTATGTCTTTTAATGCACATTATAAACCAGAAAAGTAGATATTATCATCATTTCCGTCATATAAAAGGCAAGGTACTGTGGCTTTAAGAAGTCACACAGTGAATAGCAATGCTCAAAAAAGGATATACATGCAGGCTTGTTGGTTGCAGAGCTTGTGGTTTTTACCCAACTAAGGTTTAGGTAAAGAATGAGAATTGGACTTCTAATATTTCTTTCTTTAGGAAACTTGACTTTGGAAAATAACATTAGAATTGAAACCCTCGTGCACTGTTGGTGGGAATGTAAATTGGTGCAGTCACTATGGAAAACAGTATGAAGGTTCCTCTAAAAATTAAAAATATAAATACCATATGATTCAGTAATTCCACTGCTGGATATTCACCCCAAGGGAAATGAGACATTAATTTGAAGGTATATGCACCCCTCTGTTTATTGCAGCATTATATAAGAGCCAAGATATAGAAGCAACCCAAGCATTCATCAATAGACAAATGAATAAAGAAGCTAACACACACACACACACACACACACACACACACACACAGAGGAATATTACTCAGCCATCAAAAAGAATGAATTCTTGTTATTTGCAATTACGTGGATGGACCTAGAGGGTATTATGGTATTATGTTAGGTGAAATAAATAGATAGAGAAAGACAAATACCATATGACTTCACTTTTATGTGAAATTTAAAAAACAAAACAAATGAGCAAAGGGGGGAAAAAAAGAGAGAGAGAGACGAACGAAGAAACAGACTCTTAACTATGGAGAACAAACTGATGGTTACCAGAGGGGAGGTAGCTGGGGGATGGGTGAAATAGATAAAAGGGATTAAGAGGTACAAACTTCCAGTTATAAATAGTCACAGAGATGAAAAGTATAGCATAGGGAATATAGTCTATGATATTATAATAATGCTTTTTGGTGACAGATGATGACTACAAAAAAAAAAGAAACTTGAATTTAAAAAATAACATTAGGATTGTAATAGGAATTATAGAAGGGGTCAATAATTTAGGAAGATAATATAATTAAATTAATGTTCCAGTTAAGTAAAAATTAAAATAGGAATTTGAGGCTGTGAGGACAGTTTCTCAGGTGTGAACCACTATATGTAAATTTGATAAAGTGGATATGGCAGGTTTCAGAAAAGAAACAAAAATTAGAAAGATAAATTTTAAGAAAAAAGTTGAGATGTAGGCTAGGAAGAAGTGTGGGAAAGATATTTCATAGGTGAAATTAACACAGAACAATAGGACAGAAGTAAAAATAAAAAAATGAAGATCTAAATAGTAAAGGGATTAGGCTGGTTAATGCTTAAGCAAAAAAACAGGAATGTTAGGAAAAAAATAGGATTGGGTATATGGAATTAGATGAGGGACTTTGTTGAGAGATCTTGTTCTCCTGAGGAATCAACCTGTCATGTGACCTTTGAGTATAGGAGAAACCATAAAGTAGCATTAAAAGATCAGAAAACACAAGTCCTGGCTTTTTAGTTACTAGTAAGTCAATTGCTCTGAGTCACATATCTGTAAAATTGAGATAAAAATATCATCCCTATTTTCCTCTGAGGGTGGTTGTAAGGAATAAGTGAAATCCTTGCAGTCTTTTGTAAAATAAGAAGTACAATACAAATATAAGATGATGATGATAAAGATGATGATGATTATGTTGCCCTCAGAGGCAAAGTAATGGTTTTCTCTTCAGTATATCGCCCGTTATGGCTTTCAAACTTAGAA